TTATAATATTATAAAATACCATAAATACATATAAATTAATACTATATTATAAAAGACTTTAAATGGTTATATCTGTCCCTATACTATATTAAAAAAGATGGGTTAAAATTATTCTTAGAATTTTTAAAAAATGCTCATGTTATTGCTTTATTTACAAATGTTAAAGCTCAAAAACCTCTCCATAACATTCCACATCCCACAACTTCCTCATGATATTCAAAATCAAATATTTCTAATTTTTAAATTACATTTGGACCATTTATTTAATTTACTTTATATCCTTAACTTTTTCATTTTACATTACACCTTACCTTATAGACATAAATAATCACATATTAACTAAAATACATTTTCTTTTTACAAATTATATCATTACAAAGTCAATACCTTCAAAATGAGCCTATTGTTGAATATTTTTGTATTAATTCATACTATTAAATATCTTAAATGCATACGCATTAATTTGTCTTATATTCGAATAAACTATGATTTTCGTCTGAAATTTCGTTTTTCGTCTATATGGTTTGTAACTTATTGTTGTTTTCATTCCTACAATTTGTAATTTATTGTTGTTTTTGTTTCTGAGACTAAATCTATTTAAAAAACTTTCATTTAAGTTAGTGGTATTTTCGTCTTTTTAGTTTATTAAATATTGTTTTTGTTGTTTTTTGTTATTTAAGTCTTTTTTATTTAATAAAATTATTTATTTTTTATGAAAGAATTAAACATATGATTTTTTTTTATTACTTTCCTATTTTTTTTATGCTAAAATAATTAAATATTTTTCGTGCAATTTTTTTTTTCTTCATATTTTTGTTCATTATGGTTTTAGTTTCTTATTTATTCGATTTCTGAAAAATTACATTTTTTATAAGACGTATTTTTGGATTTGTATTTAAGAAAGATGTCATAAAAAATTAATTGTACACGTTATTTTAAGAATGTTTAAAAGACATCCAGTTGGAACACATTTTTACAAGATATACATTTGTTTGATATTTATACTATATTATAAAGCATGTTAAATGGTTAAATGTCGAATTTTAAGAGGTACATCTCCTCATGCTTTACGTACAAGTTTTTGAAGTTGTGTGAAACCCCTCCATCATATTACTACTATTTGGATGTTTTCACTATTTTTTTTTTTTTTCTGATCTTGCTTTGCTTGAATAACATGTTTTGTTGCTTCTTGATCTTGTTTTACTGTTCTTTTGATTGAAATATGAAATATATCAGATGATAAATCATATTGGCTTTTTTTATTGAATTACATTGGGTTTTTTCGGTTCCGTTTTCTTGAATCATAATGGTTTTTTAGTTCACATTGATTGTACAGAATGATTGTTTGATATTCTTGTTGTAAAAATGCAAAGACTTGATCTTGTTCTAACAACGCTTATGAGATTGGATAGTTTATAAGCAGCAGGTGGGTCCATGATCATTTAGATGACTATTGGTTTAGACGTCAGATGATTCGGGTAGATCCTGTGTTTATGCATTTGTTATGGCTAACGTTATTGGTTTTATTCCAATTGTTTTTAGATTTTTTTAGGTATAAGAAACTTCATTAATTCTATTATTGATTTACATCCCACTACATTGCAGCAGGGTACAGATAAAGAACTTTCAATTATCTTGAAGCTTTTAAGAGATACAACTTTTTAAGCTTAATGTACATATTTTAAAGCTACTATTGACTTGTTCGAATATGCAATTGAGTGTATTAACTTCAGGGACCATTAATGCTATGAAATTAAAAGTTAAGAACCATCAATGTAGATCAGTTCATTTTAAAGACCAAATCCAAATGTTAAGCAGACCATCAAAGCAATTCACTCTAATAGTTATTTTTGATGTGTTCGATAAACTAAGGGGCCGTTTACCTGAACACTTACCCGGTAAGCACTTACTGGTAAAATTCAACACTATTGTTTACTTACCGGGTAAGATTTTATTCACTAAAACACATCGTATGCAACAATTTAATCCCGGTAAGCGCTAACCATGGTAAGAGTGGTCGCTCTTACTTACAGAGTGAGACTCTTGATTCTTGTTTTTGTTTTTATCGGGGAAGATTCTTAGTCTTTTCCATATTTATCCGGTAAAGTAAAGTGACTTGGTAAGCGTTTATCCAGTGGTAAACGGGCAGCTAACTAATAAGTTAGTTGCTAGCTGATCGATAATTAAACAAAAAATAACATTATTAATTACATGATTGGTACATAATTATTAGTTTATATTTTATTTTAAATAAGATGATAAATTCCAAACCTTTTTTATTGAAGAAAAGAAGCACTCTTTGTTTGAACCAATGATTTTTGTTAAAATAAATAATATAAGATAATTATATATTAATTATTAATTAAATAAAAAGATACATATTTGAAAGAAAGAAAGAAGATAAGATAAATAAGTATGGAATGAAAGAGTTATTTTGGTTGTAATCGGAATAAAAGTTTGTGGCTGAGAATGAGTTCGCGGTGAAGAGGTGGGACCCTTATTTCGTGGGGCGGCTAATACGTCTCACCTAATTTTATTTTATTTGTTATTTATAAATAAACCATTTTATTTTTCAAAAATATATTTCTTGATTATTTTTAAATCTCTTATTGA